TTGGTAAGAGGAGTGTCACTGGCCCCAAGAAGACCCTTTGCTACGTGTAACAAGCCTTGCCTGTGGTGAAAGACAAGAAGACTTGATGCGTATAGTGGTGCAGCCACGCCTGCGTACCGGCAGCAGCACGCTCATTGTCCCTCCACAGGCCCATCTTTGAGATCTTGTCGCCGCTTGCAGGTACTTGTTCTGGCAGATCTAATTTGACTACATCAAATGCCCCTATCACAGCTTCCTGATGGTGCCATTTGTAGCTCATTTGGCAGCATGCTCACCGTACACCAGCAGGTCAAAGTGTCGGTGCCAGGGACAATGAGCAGGCGTGAGCGGTACGTGTCACTGCTGAGGCACAGAGAGCGCGCGTAGAGTGGGGCAGCCACGCTCGCACAACAAGGCTGGCACATCTGTTGTCCCTGCACATGCCAATCTTTGAGCGCCTGTCACTGCTTGCTGGCCCTTGTTCTAGCACAACTGTCTTGACTACAGCAAATGCCCCTATCAAACCTACCCAGTGAGCGTCTGAACAAGCCAATTGGTGAACAAGAGCCTGCACAGTGGGTCCTCAAAGTGTCGGTGCCAGCGCACCTGTTTGGTGAGAAGTTGACGCGCATCACTCTTGGTATGTGCGCGTGTTCTGTGCTTGCTGAGGCACCATCTGAGCAAGCAAATTGCACCACACAAAATGCCCCTATCACAGCTTCCTGACTGTGTGATTGGCTTCTCATTTGGTAGCCTGCTTGCCGTACACCAGCAAGTCAAAGTGTTGGTGCCAGGGACAATGAGGGCATCTGAGTGATGTTTGCGCGGAACAAAGGCGTGACGGCCACCATGGCAGGCTGGGGTGCGGCGTACAAATTGATACATGCAGCAGATAATTTACGCGTAGCGCGCGCGCCTGCGTGGCGCATCCGTATGGCAGAGCACGCGTCCGTATGGCAGAGCACGCATCCATATGGCAGAAATCTGTCTGCGCATTTTACGGCGTAAAATCTTGAAAATCAAGGTCCGCAGACGTCCGGACGCGTCTTTTTGGCGGGGTGCGGCCTAGTTTACGGCGTAAAATCCTAGACTTATACCAGTAGACACATTTGGTCATGTGACCAGCCCTGTGAGGTTGTCAGGTGATGCAGTGAGGTTGGCGAGGTCCTTTGGTGAGGCAGGTGAGGCAGTACCAATGCATGGCGAGGTAGGCGAGGTTGTGCACCACTCATTGATGATTTCCTCACTGAGTTCATGTTCTTTCCACCTGGTTCTTGGCATGCCCCAGTCTTTTTCCATGCTCTACAAAATGGCTTTCTAGGCTTTTGAAAAAGTCCAGTGTGGGCAGACCTCACCAGCCAAATGTTGGGTTCCCCGCAACAAAATCTTGCCTCACACCGTCAATCGATAATTATATTTGAAACTTTCTTCACCACATATGCCCCTCAGTGGCCTCTACAAGCTGGTCTAAGTCCCATCCAAAAGCCTGTTTGGGGATACCCTTGTAACCCTAACCCTCAGTGCTTTGCAGTGCATCTGCCTGGCGCTCTTGACCCTGAGGCGCACTTGGCAGCACTTGCTGGGCTGCAGTCCCAGCTTGGCGCTCTGGAACTTCCTCAGCGGTCTGAGAGGCCTCTTCAGCGCCCGCTGGTGCATCTGAGTGCTCCTCCTGACTGTTGGGCGCACTTGGTCCATTCTGAGCGCGGTTGACACCTTCTGGGTGCTCTACAGCGCTGACCTGGCTCTCTTCAGCGCTGACCGGCGCCTCTGGCTGCTGAAGTGCGCTGGAAGGCACTGGTCTGCTGGTGACAGACCTTGTAGAGCGTCCTTTGGCTGGCATGGTGCAGTGAATTGCGCTGTGGAGCAAAATCTCACCATCATCAGCGCTCTGCTGCGCTTGCTGGCCATGAATGGCGCTCAAAGGCACTCACTTGGTCTGAAGAGCTGTGTAATGCTGGTTGTGCGCTGAAAGACACTGAGGTGCACTGTTGTCAAAGAGGATGGGGGATGGTGGTGGTAGGGAAGAAGGAGGGAAAGATGAACATGTTCACTTTTTCATCCTTTTTCTAGCTACATGTCCCTCATGCAACCTGCTTGACTTCGCTTCTCAAGTGCGCTGAGAGGCGCTGAAACGTCTTGAATGCTCCACAGTACTTTGGCGCACTTCAGCGCCGCCCCAAAGGGCGCCAAAACACCGCTGGGGGCGCCCAACCCAGCCACCTCCACATCACTACAGCGCACCTCCCTGCCTGCGCACACCAGCCACAGCTCAGCGCTCTCCTGATGCCCTTGCATCTCCCCTCAGTGCCCCTTGGTGCACCGTGTTCAGTGCCTCTCACCGCACTTGACACTTTGAAAGCTCATATCTCCATGGGTTTGCAACCCCACCCCAAACCCTTCACACATGCTAAATGATTCTTCTGACCCTCTCCAAAACCCTGCTAGGGTCACATAAATTCCCAAATTTCAGAGGCGCCACCAGCCAAAATCACCCCGCACTTGCGCTTTGCGCCTCCTCACGCAAAAACGGCTATCGCAAATCCAAAACTTTTCAGCCACAAGACACCTCTCAATGTGCTCTACAAACTGGCTATCAAACATCTCCGACCCTAAAATGGCCCACCCTTGTAACCCTAACCCTAAACCCTTGCCCACTTTCACTGCACATCCCTGCACTGCTTTCCATCCCACTACACTCTCTCATTTACTCGCACTAATTGCCTATCTTCACTTTGCTGCACCAAACTTTCATTGCTTCACTGCCCTGCATTTCTACTTCCTCTTCTCTTTCTCCATTGCTCCCTCATTCACTGACTGACCCTCTCTCCTCACAGCTCTCTCAATAGCACGCACTAACATTCCCCCACTCACTGACCCTCTCTTCCCACAGCTCTCTCATTAACATGCACTAACATCCTCTCACTTCCTTCTTGCTTCTTTGTCACACTCTCTCATTAACACGCACTAATGTCATCTGATCTCTCCTGTTAGGACGACGATCCCAATCGAGTCGCCCGTCACACGTGACCAACGGCGCGCTATCACACGAGAGGCTAGCAGAGCCACTCGTACGAGAGACACGCCGCAGCCAGATCACTCGAACCTTGCAATCCCCTTTTGTAGTCTTCTTTTTGTGAGGCACTTGTTGACCAAGTACCTCATCGCAAATACTATTCATAACCCTGATTCTATAGACGCTCCGCCAGTTACAGTGTAGAGATCTAGACAGACGGTCTATGTAAGTATGCGCGCAGACGACTAGGTTGATGATGTAACGTAAGGTTCAGCCAAACCCTCGCCGAGCCTATCGTTGACCAATAGCCCCGGTGAACCCGCTACTTCCCACAGTACCGGTTTAACATCTCCCTTCTTCACCCACCTCTCTTATTTACTTGCACTAACACACTCTCATTTACCAACTTGATCCCCCCTGCTTGCTTAGCCACTCTCAAGTGCTCACTGCTTCCAACTCTCTTGTGTACTGACTCTCAATTCCCCAAAACTCTTCCATTTGCTGACTCTTCTCTGCGCAATCCATCCCTCAAAACCCTCTTATACACTGACTCTTGAACTCCTCTATGCTTGTCTCAAACTCTTTCATCTACTGTCCCTAGCTGTCCTGCAAACACCCATGTACACCTTTGCTTTGGTCCACCATTGTGCCTGGTCACAAATCTGAATGTCATGCGGGATGCACACCGGGATGCGCACCGGGGGGTGATAGTATTGAGAGTCGTTTGCATTATGCCTCCATCTGCAGGAGCACGCGGGATACGCGCGCACGACCCACGAGTGCCGCACACGTCACCATCAAATCGCAAGGTGTTCAGTTTGGCATTTAGAGCGATAATGCCGCTGGCCTGGTCTCGAACTCGACCAGGGCATCAACGAACCTTTCACAGTTATACTCAGGCGTCTATACTGCGTGCCTCTACTTCACTCTCACTGCATCGCACAACACACCTATCAAGCATGGTCGCGCTGCGAGCGCGCGCACAGATGTTCTCCATGCCGCGGCGCGGTCCTAGACGCAAACCTGCGTACGGTGGGTAGGTAGCGAACGGCTTTTCTAATCGCTTGTAGCTCTAGCTTCTCTTCATTGCTCGTCATGACTGCGTCAGATCCTTCGATTACCCCTCAAAAACTCCGCTGCCACTTTTTGCGCCCGATTCAGACCAGCCAGTCGCGCTCTCCCAAAAGCACGATTAGCAGATACTACTACCGCTCTGAGCGTCGTTTCAGAAGTGAAGCCAATGAGCTACACTGAAGGAATCTGAATGCGCGGCTGATCTGCACTCTGATCACAGTGCTGGGAAACGGACTTTCGAGGAGCAGCTCTGATTGCACCAACATGAAGCTCGCAAAAAGACGCTCGCGGCAGCCAGTCATCCGATCGGATGCGGTGCCTCCCTTGCAGGCCGACGCGCACGCGCACGCGCACGCGCACTCCGTCACGCGCAGCAGCAGCAGCACGTTTCATGCACGCATGTCAAAAGTTCCGCTCGCCAACGGAATCGTGATTCCGTGCGTGCGTGCGTGCGTGCGTGCGTGTATTCCGCCTGACTGGAAAGCTTAGCAGGTGGTGAACGCTTTCTCGCAGCTCCCGCTTCTCTTCATTGCTCGTCATGACATCCATCCATGCTGCCTCATATCCTGCGCGTACCACCTCGACTCTCCGCTGCTACTCGCGCAACACTCGGATTGACGAAGGTCCGCAGCATGTACACGATGCGAGGCCTGACCATTGCCGACGAGGCTGGCAAAATCGACGTGCGCAATGACCTTCCAATGCCAAAGCCGGGACCTGGTCAGTTGCGAGTTGCAATCGAGTACGCTGCGCAGAATCCGCCAGATGCGTACGCTCTTATACCCGAGCAGTCCAAAGATTACCGCAGCAGAGATCATGTCCTCGGCAGCGACTTTGCAGGAACAATCGTGGAGAGCAACGCGAGCGCTGCAATCGGATCGAGAGTGTGCGGCTGGGTGCCGGGAGATACGACGACTACAGGCACATTCGCAGAGTACACGGTCTGCGATGCTGCATTGAGCGTCAAACCGCCAGACCACTTGCCGCTGGACCAGCTCGCGGCATTTTCATTTTCCTTTTTTACGGCTCTGCACGCACTGGGAAGCCAAGCAGGGCTTCAGCTCGACCTCGAACCTCTTGGTCAGGACAATACTCGTGCGGAACAGTCACCCATCCTGGTGTGGGGCGCGGGAACTGCGTGCGGACAGTACGCCATCCAGATCCTTCGCGTGGCAGGCTACCAGAGCATCGCTGTTGCGGGCAGCAAGTCGCTCGACGCTCTGCAACGTCTGGGCGCGACGTACGCGTTTGGCAGAGAGGATGAAGCTTCGACTGTGCAACAGATACGCGCGCAGTGGCCACACCTTGAAAGAGCATTGGATTGCCACGCTTCGCCAGAGACGGTGGACGCGTGCTTGCGCTGCTTTGCAACCGATCAAGAGGCAGGGCGGCGGCGGCGGCAAGTACACAAGTTGCTCCCGAGCCTGCCGTCTGGGCATGGAAGCGGCAATGTGCGACAGACTTTTGCGCTGATTCACGCCCTGCTGGGAAGACCGGTTCCGCTGCTAGCCATGCTGGGTGAGGAGTACCCGAGTGCAGACGTCTTTGCCAGCGATCGTCGCTTGGCAGAACGATGGGCTTCGTACGACCAAGGCCATCTGCATCGGCTGCTCTCGAGCGGCAAGATCAGCGTCTTGCCAGCCAAGACGTGGCCGTTGGATGACAAGACGGGGCAGCAGGGCTTGGCGGGGGCGAAAGAAGCGCTGCTGAGCATGTACGCTGGTCACACGCCCAGCGGTAAAGTCGTGCATCGACTTGGTGATGCCTAGAGCGACGTCTGCGCGCGTAGTCCCCATTCAACTCACCGCTCAGAGCGATGCATTGTGCAATCACGAATGTCCACCATTCAACCCTTGAGCGCCTGGGTGTGAAAAGACGCGCGGATGCCGTGATGCGGCATTGTCAATGTGGGCGTGGGTACTGGTAATGGTCAATGTGAATGTGAATGTGAATGTGAATGTCAGTGCGAATGTGAATGTGAGTGTGAATCATTGAATCAAGAACCTCGTATGTGGAAGCCGGCCTGATGCGTGCGCGGTGCGGTGCGGTGATAGACGATGATGCGCTTCTATACCGCGCGCGCGCGGCTGTTGTGTCGGCGGCTCGTTTGATTGGGCACAGATTAGCGCAAAGGGCAGTGAGTGCAGTTTGTAAGCATCGGCCGCGTCCGCGTGCGTGCGCGCCCGCGCCAAGACGAAATTCGCGACATGCACGCACGCACGCACGCGATGGAGCGCCCAAGCGACCTTTTTCTCTTCCGGTCTTCTCGCTTGACCTCACCTGACCCTGACCCTGACCTGACCTGCACTCATGACTCACGACTCTCGTCGCTCCATACCCGACTTGCTTTTGCTTCCTCCCTTTGGCACCACACCTTCATCTTACATGCCACAAACCAGCATGTATGCGCCTGCTCAAGCGCAGCCCTCTAGCATCAGCGCCAGCGCAAGCATCAGCACCAGCGCAAGCATCAGCACCAAGACCACCACCACCACCACCACCAACACCAACGCCAACGTCTTTCCTGCCCCCAATCCCAGCGCCTCGCTGCTGCTCTCCCATCGACCCGTGGGAAATATCGTGGTAATCATCGGCTCTTCGCGTTTGGCAGCATCCAGAGCCTTTGCTTGCCTCGAGGCTGGCGCCACGCCTCTGATCGTAGGTCTGGATGGCATCGACGACGATACTCGCCCCTCTTCCTCCTCCTCCTTGCATCGAGCTGCGCCAGAAGTGGTGCACCGCGTCGAGAATGGCTCGACGCTGTGGAGAGAAGCGCCGAGCAAAGATGACGAGCAAGGGTGGTCAAGTCTGATAGACCATATCGACGATGCTGGGGGAGAAGCGCGCAAATCCATCTTTGCGGTCTGCGTCACCGACACGCTTCACCTTGCTGCCGACGACAGAGTGCGGGGGAGCAGCGCGATGGAGATCAGTCCAGCTCAGAGGAGCATGACCCGTGCAAAGCTGCTCGTCAGGCTGTGCAGGATGCGGCGTATTCCCATCAATGTCGCTGATCAGCCAGCGCTCTGCGACTTTAGCTTTCCCGCAACGCACCGATTCGCTTGCTCTTTCGTCCCCAGTCCCGTCTCTGGCGCTAGCGCTAGCACTAGCGCGACCAGCACCTCTCCCGCCCCCTCTTCCAGCCTGCAAATCGCGGTGACCACCAATGGCAGGGGTTGTCGTTTAGCAGGCAGAATCCGTCGCGAGATCGTAGGCGCCCTGCCTAGAAATGTAGGCGATGCGGTGGACAAGGTGGGCAGGATGCGCGAAGTGGCCAAGAGGGAAGACTTGAGGCGGGCAAGCGTCAGCGCCGCGCAGCGTCGTGCAAGCCGCAGCAGGAGCCGTAGCAGGCCAGAGGAGAGGGATGAGGAGGACGCTGCGTTGGACAGCACCCCTCTCAACAGTCCCGTACCTCAGCTTGGAGCGCCGCACGACTCCAAGAGCTACTTTGCGGGAGCAATTCGCAATGCTAGTGCTTCACGCATCGCAATCGCGTCGGATGATGACCGGGACACAGAGGCCCGCAAAGAATCCGCGAAGCGAAGAATGCGCTGGGTAGCGCAAATGAGCGAGTACTGGCCCATCGAATACTTGGCGCGTCTGCAAGATGATCAGATGGCCCAGATTCTGGACACGTACGAAGACGATCCAGAGAAATCAGGCGATGCCGCGTCCGCGTCCGCCTCCTCCTCCGCCACCACCACCACTGCGAGATCATCCCTCGAAGGCGCCGCTACGAATGGCGCAGATACTCCACGCGGAAGGCCTGCTTCGCGCCGCAATTCTGCAGACGTACCGGGACTGCTCCGTCGTGACACATCTCAACATGCTCTTGAGCTTGGAATGCCGCGAGCGCCTCCTTCCCGCCAAGGTCGCATATATCTCGTCGGATCTGGTCCCGGTCATCCCGGCTTGCTCACGAGGATGGCTCATGACTTGCTCACATCGCCGTCGACGCACCTGATTCTCTCGGACAAGCTGGTGCCCGCACCCATCCTCCGTCTCATCCCTTCCACTACTCCCCTCGTCATTGCGCGCAAATTCCCTGGCAATGCCGAAGGTGCTCAATCGGAGCTCATCGCGTTGGCTCTTAAAGGGGCCCTAGAAGAAGGCAAGACTGTCGTGCGCCTGAAGCAAGGCGATCCTTTTGTCTATGGTCGCGGAGGGGAAGAGGTGCTGGCATTTCGGCGTGCAGGCATCGAAGCCACCGTGGTGCCTGGCATCAGCTCCGCCATGGCAGCTCCCTTGCTTCTCGGCGTACCAGTCACTCAAAGGGGAGCAGCGGACTGCATGGTACTGTGCACAGGAGTCGGACGAGGTGGCAAGCAGGTCAAATTGCCCGGTTACGAGCGCAACAGAAGCACCGTCATTCTGATGGGCGTTGCAAGGCTCAAAGACGTCGTCCACACCCTGACAGAAGGTTGGACACCCGCACAGCAGGGCGTGACCACTACGCACGCGAATCTGACTTGCGGCTCAGCCACCAGCTCCAACACTACGCACGCGAATCTGACTTGCGGCTCAGCCACCAGCTCCAGACAGGGCGCCGCATATCCACCGCACACTCCGATCGCAATCGTCGAGCGCGCATCTTCTACGGATCAAAGGCTCGTCGCATCCACGCTAGCGGGCATTGTGGAGGCGATGGAAAGGACGGGAGAGCAGCGCCCGCCAGGCATGATGATCGTGGGCTGGGCTGTGCTCGCACTGGATGGCGATGGCGATGTGAGCGTGCTGGACGACGAGTCCGCTTGCATCGCGGTGGCGGCGGACAACAGCGAGTCGAGCTCGCCCGGGCCAGAAGCTGGGCGAGCTCGGTTGGATGAGCTGGACGAGGCTCGCGTCCATCGATGGCTAGGCGGCGCGAGGTACGTTGTGCGAGAAGGTTTAGACGAAAACTATGCTAGTGCTCTTGCAAGCATGGCACGTCCTCATGACCACGGTGACACCAGCATTCACGTGATTGACAATTCGGCACACAACGGCGGCGCATCCATCGACTACTCTCTGGCTGCTCGTAGCGCTGCAGGATGGGCTCCTGCACGTTATCAACAATCTAACGGCGTGCCTTGGGGCGGTTGGGGTACCCAAGAAGCGCCAAACGTGCCTGCTGCGGACGCGGAGGCCTATCAGCGGCACCAGGCGTATGCTAAAGGTCGCGATGCCTGATGCCTCCTTTTAGCGCAAGTAGCATGTCCCTACACCACGCGTTCGAGGTTTCTGCTATTCAGCATCATGAACATGTAGCACCGCGTCCGTGGCAAAATGCAAATTCATTATCCGCCGCAAGGAAGGTGTCAAGAGCGAAGAGGCCCTGTTCGAGTCGTGAAATAGAGACACAATTATGGACATGATGAAAGTGAAACTTGGCGCGAAAGATTCACGTGGTGACGAGCGGGTGTCACCTGCGAGCGGACGCTGACCGCGCGCAATGATCAGGGATACGCAAAGACTTAGGCTGTACAGGAGGCGTGGAGAGCACGTGTGAGAGTCTCATCGGACTTCTTTTGACGACCCCGCAACTCACCCGCACTTGGTCCAGCAGTCGCAGCAGGCTCGCCCTTCTTTTCGACGGCATAGCCTAAAAGTTGCAACTCTGGTGATCAGATACGTGTGCAGCACGGATCGCGACGACAACTCACCGTTGGGGCCAATCTCTACACCAGCCTTTTCTGCTCCAGCGCCAGAATAAGCAGGCGTCTCTTCGGCGGCGCTAGGGGCAGCAGCGGCAGGCGCACCGCTGGAGGTGGCAGCGGGGGCAGCATTGTGCTGAGCATTGGCGGCGGCTTGATCTTGAGCCTCCTCGTACTCGTCTTCGTCCTCCTCCACGCTGCTTCCCTCTTCCTCATCCTCCTCCTCCTCCTCGGGCTCGGAGCGGTAGCCTGCAGCGCGCACGGCTGCTGGAACGGGGCCGGTGCGGTCCATGACCGCAGAAGAGGTGAGGTAGACCTTGGACAGCTGCTTGATGTCGTTCCACCACTGCTTGCGAGGTAAACTACGTCAGCGAGATGCATTTGCTGTGTCGAAGCCTCGCACAGCTCACCTCGTGCGTCTCATCCTCCGAACGAGCGCGGAATGTGTACGAATGCTCGCGCGAGAGGGGAAGCTTGGACAGACCAGGCATCGTCTTTGCAGCGGCTTCAATGTGGAACTTTGTGCCGCGAATGGGGCCAAGAGTGCAGTTGGGCAGGAACAAGCTGAGTTCAGGGTTTGGGTGGGTGGTTGCGTCGGAGCTGCCGTGCTCGTGCAGGTAGCCGGCAGGAGTGAGGACGTAGAAGGACTCCTTGTAAGACTTGGTAAATCGCTTCTTGCGCTCGAGAATGCCTTGGTGAACAGGAATGACCGATGGGTCCTCCTTTCCGGGATAGTCGATCGTCTCTGGGTTTCTCAAAGGCGTGTCTGGGTCGAGCAGGTGGTCGGATCGAGCAGCAAAGGCGATCCACTCGGCATTGGGTTGCAGACCTCTCATCTGGACGCCCAGTCCGAGCCAAGTGTCTTGCACCTGCGCGGACATGCGGCCGCTCCATTCGTCAAAGGTCTGCCACGCGCTCTGGATGGAGCGGACGATGCCTTCCTCAAAGTGAGCGCTGTTCTGTTGCATGATGATGATGCTCTTTTGCAGAGCATTCTCCTCTGCGACTTGCTTTTGAAGCTGACGAAAGACGTTGTTGTTGGCGCTATAAGGATCCTCCTTTGCCGTGACGCTCATGGGCGTGTTTTTGAGCAGGGTGATGCTTCTAGCCAGATCGCTAATCATCTTTGTGCTCATTTCGCGCTCCTTGGCAACGCTGTTGGCCAGCTTGCCAGTATCTTGCTGAACATTCTTGACGTGAGCCTTGATCTCGGACCTGAGCTTTTGCAGGTGCTGAACGATGCTTCCCTCGACAGTCTTTGCCAAATTGGCATGGTGATCGGCAATGACGCGAGTCTTGTCGCGGATGCTGTAGTAAACGTCTTGGATGCCGTCCTCGCCCAAGAATTGGCTTCCCTCTCTGAAAGGCACTTGGATCACGCCGCCCAGCTTGGTGAGCTCCTTGGCGGTGTTGTACTCAATGTCTGCGATGCCCTCAAAGTAGCTGATGAGCTGCTTCGTAATGTGCTTCCAGCCTGGTGCAAGGGTGAGCGTGATGTCAGCATGGCATGGCAGAGTGTGCGCGTCTGCCTGCCTTTAGGATGCGCATCCACACGCGAGAGGGGTGTGCATCTGGAAGAAGCGTATGCTCTTCGCCGCCTCACTCACCATTGAAACGCTCGATGAGAATGTCGGATGGGCGCAGCTCGGTGGGGCCCGTGTTCTTCTTGATCAAGCTGGCATTGCGGCTAGCGATGCTACTCTTGCGGCTCACGCTGCTTGCGCGGCCGATACTGTGAGCGTCGTATTGCGACATTGAGGGGGTTGCGAGGAGATTCGATGTGATGTGGGTGGGTGTGTGGATGCCTTGGGACGATGCGCAAAGGCTGTTTGTTTCCGGGTGGGGGATGGCGGAGGAGAGGACAGTGTGCGAGCCACGCAAGACGTCTAAGGTCAAGTCGGTCACGTACGATCAGCCATCGCAGGCCAGGCCAAGCAAGCGCCGAGGCCGCGGCAGCGACAGGGACAGCGACAGCGACAGCGTGTCCATCATCCTCGCGCATGCACTCACGACTCATACCATCAGCAGCAGCAGCTCCACGGCACGAATCTGAACTGCGCCCACGCCTGCGTGTAAAAGTATGACGCACACGCGCACCGCGGGCTTTGCTTGATCTCTCGATCGAATCCTGTAGCAAGCGCGCGTGGTCATGCAATCAAAGGTGTGATATGCATGCGCACTGCACTGCACTCACTGCACGCATCCGCGCGACCGGACTCCGCAAGCAAATCAGTCGCGAGGTGAGTACGGCATCTTACGATTCTTGATTCACGATTGGATATGTGCTTGCTTGCTATGCTGGCACGGCATCAGGCAGGAGCAAGATTGGCGCGCTTGCTCGCTCCTGAGCTAAGCAAAAGCGCACACACAGCTCATGTGGCTTGTGTAGAATCGTGACTGATCTCCTCCACTCCAGCACCCCTACAGCTTATGCATGCGGATGCCGTTGAAGTCTAGCACACCCTTGGCGCCAGCCGTGAGTAGGAGTGAGTGCCAGTGCCAGTGCCAGTGCCAGTGCCAGTGCGAGCGTCCCCATCAACGCAAGGTTCGAGCACTACAACAGAGCATACCATACACGCACCAACGTTGAGTCGAGCTCGTTCATGCCATCCTGCTGCTGTGCCTGCCGCTGCTCAGCCACTCAGTCCTCTACGTGCGCTGCTGATGCTGCTGCTGCTGCTGGAGCCACATATGCATGCCGTGCTGCCGTTGCTGTCCATATGCGCTCCACGGCGCCTTTCCCCGCATGAGGTGACATCATCGCGCTGCATGCCACTGCGCTGCTAAGCGGTCGGTGAGACTCGGTGGTGCTGGTTGCTGCGTCGCGTGCTGCTGCTGCTGTTGCGTGCCCTCGAACACCGCAATGACAGAGTACAGTAACGCGGGCGCGCGCGCGCGGGGAGGGCACCGTTGGCCTTGCAGATCGACCTTCCTCGCCTCTCTTGATCAGCAAAGGAAAGGCTCTCGGCTCTCGGCTCTTGGGCGTGTGCGTGTGCGTGGGCGTGTGCGTGTGCGTGCGCGGTGGGATTCGCCGCACGCGGACTCGAGCGACGCCTTCCATACGTGATGGTCGGAACAGGGAAACTCGACCAGTCGCGACACGGAATGATCGAGTCTGACTGGCAAGCAAGCCATCGGCGACAAGTCACGACTGAGCACATTGATGGACACATTCAAGTTGTGTCAATCAGATGCGCTCACGCTATGCGAGACAGGGGGGCAACAGGGTGACATTGTGTGTGATGCAAAGAGAGCGCGAATGAGGGGTACAGAACTGGTTGTGAGTGGGGAATGTCGCGCCAAATGTATAAAGGGAGCGTTGGTTGGGCTGGACACGGGCTGTGGCATCCTGCGATGGCATCCTGCGCCGTGCCACCCTCCTCACCGCTGCGCTGGAAAGCGGTAGAGAGCAGCAAAGAGGAGTTGTGTTCTTAGAGGATAGTGATGCGAGCCTCGCTCGGCCGGCCGCCTTTGATCATGAGCACTCGGGTGCCAAGTCGTCATCGATGTTTATGAGCGGCGCCATAGACCAACCCAAAACGCTATTTGTACGCTCGCGCTAAGCCTCGCTAGGCCTTCTGCGTCTGCTCTCTACGCACAAGCCATCCGGACCAGGCAAGAAAAAGACGCGATCTTTCCTTCTGTTGGCAGCATTCGCCGTAGGCACGTCCGTCGTGCTTTTTGTAGATTTGAGCGCGGGCGAAGAGATGGGCGTGGAGCTGGCACTTGACGGCGGCAACACTTCCGTCGCGCTGCTGCTGCTGCTGCTGCTGCTGCTCATCTTTTGTTCAGGAAAAGTGGCTGTGCCACGAGGTTTGCTGGTCGCTGGAGGCAGTCCCGATGATTGTATCGGTGGGCTTTGCATAGGGGCCATGCCTAGCGCAGCCAGGGCGCTCAGCCTACCACCCGTCAGACTGTGTCCGAAACTCGTCCTTCGTGGTACGCCATCGAATGCCGAGCCTGGTGCTTGTTGGTGGTGGTGGTGATGATGACCGGATGAATTAGGACTCGTACCATACGCCCCATGCGCGTAGCTCATGATGCCACCTGGCGCTCCACCAGTGCTTGTCGCAGCGTTCCAGAAACGAGGTGCCAAGAATGCCGAAGCGGGCGCCGAGCCTCTTCGCTGTCCGAACGCTCCTGATTCGAAGGGCGAGCCACTGTGCTGCTGCTGCTGCTGTTGTTGTTGCGATGAGCCAGATTTGCTGTTGCCTGGAATGGGCACTGCTCCTGCGCTGGTAGCCGAAGAGGCATCGGAGCGTGGCGCTGGCGATGAGCGACCGGATGAGCTTGGTGTAGAGGATGACATGGTCAAAATGGCGGAGGCGAAGGATTCGAAGTCTGCGAGTAAGTGAGGCTCCGCAAAGACGTCGACGTGGCTAGAATTGCCTTCTTGGAGGCCAAAAGATTCAAAGACCAGACGGCCAAAAGTCGGGATTAGCCAGATGTAGTGGCGGATGTTAGAAGCGCTTCTTACGAATCCGCGTTTGACAATTATCGTTATCGTGAATGCTGCTGACCTTCTCGAGCGCGCGAGTAGGAGAGGGGGGGCAGCAGGGTCGCGGTTGCCTATTGCGGGTTGATGAAGCGAAACGCGGCTATGAGAGGCACGATCTGCACGTGCTCTTGGCCGGGATGCGGGACTGTATGTATGCAGATGCAGGCAACCAGGCAGGCAGCCAGAGATGATAAGGAGCGGTGGCTGATGTGTGTGACGCTGCTGCGATCGCGAGGAATGTCGATGTGGAGCGAGATGGGGCGGTCAAGTCTTAGATCGAGGAGCCGGTTGGTCGCGTTTTTGAGGCTGAATGTGATCGTGAGTCAAGCAAGCCTGTGATGATGATGGTGCTGGTGGTGCTGACGGCGCTGACGGCGCTGATGCTTGAAGCTGATGTTGATGTTGAGCCATGCACTTGCGTTGCGTGGATGCATGCATGCATGGCCACGGCGGGGCTGAGTCGTGAGTCCTTCATCCACAGCTCCTAAATGAGTCGCCAAAGAAGCGCGGCGCACGGCCCCCATGCACGCGCGTGGGGCAAGTCCGAAACAAATTCACATCGTGAAGCACGCCCATCTATCAATTGCAGCATCACCATGCCCGAGGCCACTTACGATTGTATTGTGATTGAAAATTCAAAGCAGACAACTCATTCACATTCAAAGTTGTCTGCCGAGACCAATTGAGGTTGATGACCACTCTAGACTCAAGATTCCAAGACTGATGAATGAAACACAAAGTCCTCATCAACCTATGCGCGCGGCGCACCAACGGCCGCTCAACGTCATCAAAGCGGCGGTTCGGCGGTCCAATCAACGACCGCCCTTTTCCTAGCGCCGCGCCGCGTTGCAAGAGTCACGAGTCACGAGTCACGAGTCACGAGTCACGAGCGAAAAAAGTGTATTTTTGATTTGTGATTCATGATTCAAATGAATTTGGTCTGGCGCAGAAAGAAGTAAAGAAAGATCGCGTGAGATGTCGCTCTCCTCCTCGATCGGCACAACGTTGTACCGGCTGGTAAGCGTACACCAGGTTGTTCTCGCTCGCCTCGCCATCAGCAGCGATGGTCTCTTGACGTCCGATCGGAGCCTTGCGCATGCGAGTGAGGAGGATGGCGTATGGCCTACTCATCGTGACTCGTGACTCGTGACTCGTGACTCGTGACTGTCTGTACCTATGCATCTGGTTGCTTGCATGCCGAGTTGCTTCTTCCTGGGTTCAGGGTTGGCGCACGGCGACAGGCACGCATGGCAGTGGTGTGATGGCTATAGCTAAGCAGCTACTCACATCTGCATGGGCGCTCCTCGCAGATGTGAGTGTGAGTGTGGTGCGTGTGATGGACTATCGAGCTACCTAGCTATGCTCAAAAGTCCTCTTTCCGCGACATACCCGAACGACTCCCGAGGTGCGCACGCTGCCTCCTCCACATCCACATCCGCGACGGCGACCGCGACGGCGAAAACAAGAAGAAAGGAAGCTGCGCGCGTTGCTGCACGTCCGCTCGATTGGCATTCACGCGTCGTGATTTAAACCGCGATGTAAAGCTTTGATAATAGCGCGTAATTAGATTCAAAAAGTGAATTTTGATTTGATTCGCAACCTTTTCCACGCATCGAATCTTATCATCCATTCACATTCCCCCGCGCTCACCTCTCTCGCACCTGTTCCGGCTTGGCACGATCAACATTCCGTCTTGATCACCTCCATCTCCCACACCTAGAGCTCTGACTCGCCGCCAAGCCAATTCTCAAGTCGCATACAAGCACGGCACAAGCACGACTGGCCACTGCGCAATCCGCTCACGACTCCATCGACATGTCCGCGACTACAGCCACGGCCGGCTCCAAGCCAAAGCGTGCGTAGGCAGGATCGCTTTGGCTGGAGATGCGTGTATTGCGATGAAGGGTGCAATGTTAAAGGAGGTCTTTGTGCGGGTGCTTGGTCTCAGGGCAGCCAATGATCAGCGATGCTGCCTCTCCATCAGGCTTGTATGCGCAGCATGCTGAAAGAGAGCGCACTCCACGAGCACACAGAGAGGGACTGGACGCAGGCGATGTGACCATAGGCCATCCAGACAGCGCGTTGCCTTTTTTGGCTGCTTGCACGAGCCCCCTCGTCTGTATTCTGCGTCTGCTTTGCAATCTTGCTGACCGCCTCTGTGCCTCTTGCCGTCACGCCGTAACCGCAGCGCTCCCATTCTATGCCCAATTCTCTGCGGGTGCCATCGCAGGAGTGACGGAGCTGCTGTGTCTCTATCCTCTCGGTGCGTGTCGTCTCCCCCTCACTCAGCGCGATCCTCCCTTTGTGCATGGAGGCCTAAGGCAATGTCCTCCTCGCATCTCCCCCCATTCATGCAGATGTCGTCAAGACGCGCATTCAGCTTCAGAACTCCAGCACGCCAGCTGCGGACAGGTACAATGGCATGATGGATGCTTTCAAAAAGATCATTGCAAGCGAAGGGTGAGTGGGCAAAAGTGCAGGCAAGATGAACCGTGCGAGTAGAAGGCAGCTCGTCGTCGAAATGCAGTAGAGGTGTATGCATGGGCAACGCATGGCATACGCTGCCTGTCGGCCTGTCGCTCCAAGGAGCGGTGCAATGTTACAGACATTCTAATAATGCCGCTAATCAGATGCTGAATGTGGACCCAATCTTTCATCTTGAAACAGTGCGGGACGCCTGTACCGTGGCCTCGTGCCTCCTCTCATGCTCGAAGCTCCCAAGCGAGCAGTCAAGTTCGCGTAAGTCCGCAGCTCTTTGATACGCAGCTAGCTCTGATCTGACTGATGCATGCCTTCCTGTTGCATTCTCCCTTTTGCTCGCTCAGCGCCAACGACTACTGGGGCAAGACATTCAGAGGCATCGCGGGACAGGAAAAGTCTAGTCGGGGCATCGCTACATTGACTGGGTGCGCTGCCGGAGCTACGGAAAGTGTGGTCGTCGTGCCCTTTGAGCTGGTCAAGATCAGATTGCAGTGAGTGCGAGCTCAAAGAGTGCTCCGATCCAAACGATCAGCCAGCCCCTCATACACTGCTGCTGCTGATCCTCAAATCAGGGACAAGGCGCAATCCCATCTCTACACCGGACCCATGGACGTAGTTGGAAAGATCGTCAAAGCAGACGGTCTGCTGGGTCTCTATGCTGGTCTCGAATCCACCTTTTGGAGGCATGTGCTGTGGAATGGCGGTTACTTTGGAGTGATACAGTCCACGAGAGCGATGATGCCCCCAGCAGAGAACAAAGCACAAGAATTGCGGAACAATTTCATCTCCGGTGCTATTGGTGGATTTGTTGGAACTGCACTCAACACTCCTGCTGATGTGGTAAAGAGTCGAATCCGTGAGTCTGTGCGCATATGCCGCAGTCTCCTCTGGCAGGTTGCTGACATGCCCACCGACTGCTCTCTCATCAGAGAATACACCCAACGTTCCGGGTGTTCCTCGCAAGTACAATTGGACCTTTCCTTCCATGGCTCTAGTCGCCAGAGAAGAAGGCTTTTCGGCCCTCTACAAAGGCTTCACACCAAAGGTGCTGCGGTTGGCACCCGGAGGTGGTGTGCTACTGCTCGTCGTCGAGGTGAGTTTGAGTTCAGGGCCGTGCTCGCATTTTACATTGCTGAACTGCCATGTCGGCTCATGCTCTCGACTAACGCGCAGGTCGTATTGGAGCAGTGGAGAAATATTCTCGGACCACCCTACAAGTAGACAGACGATGAGGTTGGACCATAAAAAACGGGAAAGTGGGACCTATGCTGAACTCGAAGCGCAAATGATATGCATGCAAACACAGAAAGGCGCGCGCGGGCTGCTTGTCGGGATCACTACGTCTTGAGCTGCGATCAGAGCTCCTCGCGACAAGGACGAGTAGTCAAGCGGCGCGCTGTGGTAGAGCTTTGCTTCCGAGCAGTGGGCGCTTCCGTAGTCTGCAGCTTTACCAGCGCCGCATCGCCCTTCTTGCTTGCAATGGTAATGATCGTCCAACGTGAGTTCTCTGTGCTAAGCCTGCTCGTGCAACGAACAAGTCAATAGTCACATGTGATCAAGGTTCCGGCAGTACGGTGCGCCGAGGCGACCTTGGTCCTCTCTCTCAGCTCAGAAATCGTTCTTGGCGCTTCGAGCCTCCGCCGTGACCGTGACCATGAGCGGGACGGGACGCTCACGTTTAAATGGCGTCCCGAGAAGACTGCCTTGATTCACTTTCACATTTTTGATTGGCATTTTCTTCTGTTTTTGTTCCCCGCATGCTGCAAGCTGCTGTGCGTGCGTGCGTGCGTGCGTGCGTGCGTGCGTGCGTGCGTG